CCCCAAAACCCCAAAACCCCAAAACCCCGCATTTTGATATAAAGCAAAAAAATTAAGAAATAAAAACATCAAGGGCAGATCACATTATATTTGTAGACTAATTAGTACAAGTAATTAGTTGTTTTCCCCTGATTAGCTATCATTCTCAGCTTCGTGTCTTCATCATTTTAAAGATTCTGAATTAATGCATCAATTTCATCGATTTATACTCGATTTTAATAGAGTTGCTTCTCCAGATTAACCCACGGCTGATCACTATGATAAGAATCATAATAGGCATCTATTGCTGATTTAAGTTTAAATTTATCTTCTTTGCTTATTTAATCAAATGTAGACACTATCTTGTATTCCTTCTGGCCAGTAATTTTATCTGTTTTGGAAGTTTCATAAAACTTCAACTAGGGGTTTTTTTCAGGGCGCTACAAATTTTTTAAATATGTTCCATAAATTTTGACATCACTTCTTTATCTACAAAGATCTTCTAAAATATGGTAACTGTGTTGCAGTAGCAGAATCTTTTTATGATTGATTAGTATTTTTAACTCATCAATGTCAAGTAGACCTTTCAAGCTTAATTTATAGACTCCCTTGTCATCACATTATGGGGCATCTTGAAGTAAATTTTGCTCTTAAAAATCATTCAGAACAATTTCTAGTTTGGGGTTGAAGTCAGGTCTAATAGATTGGGAATCATTAAAAATTAAGTGGTCATTTTCATAGAGATATTTTATCTTGCTAAATATAAATCTTTTCTATTTGAGTTATAGAGGATAATTTACAAATTCTAATTTTATCTAAGTTTGCACTAATTCACTTGTAGGAGTTTTTCCTGCTTTCTTTAGAAATGAACTTGGCTATTTCATATGATTTAGCAAATTGATTGACTCAGGGTGGGCGATATAATACTTATATAGTCCATATTTCTATAAATAAACATTAAGGGTCTCAAAAAAATACATCCTAGGAGGAAAAATCTGGAATAGTGTATAAAGCATCTTTATTTTATTGATCACTTTCCTTGACAACTCTAAATCTTAGCATAAATGAAGAAGGCATTTTGATTGATGTGATATCGCATGTTCTTGTAGGTGATTTGAGCATGAATACTTTATGAAACTTTACTCTTTAACAATGAATTCTTACCTTTCGGGTCCATTGAAATAGGATCATCATCATATTTCATAATTTACTTAGTTTTTGCTTCAAAAATGAAGAATTTGCTTTGACTCAGGAATCGGTACTCCTTTAAACTTAGAAGTGAAGCAGAAGTATGTCTGAATAAGTTTAATTTTTACATTTTAAAATATAAATGAGTGATAAAGAATAATATAATTAGATGATTTAGAGAGAATTATAAATATATTTAATTGCTTGCAATAATAATAAGAATGCAAGATAAATTAGAAAATAGTACTGTTAGCTTCAACAAGGCTGATAATAATTAGGAAGCAAATTAAGAGTATAGTGATAATGTCCAGTAGTCTACTGCTGCTGCCCAGGACCAGGGATCCTAGGATAACAACAGTGTTAGGTCTTAAAATCCTATCAGAATAAAGAATTAGAACTAGGTAATCAAGAAAGTTCAAAGGGTGAATCTGAATAACTCCCATTAGATGTCAAATTAGTCATTCAAAAGAACTAATTACGATATAGATCATCTTCAAGGTAACACTTCATATTATCTTAAATTTTGGCATATTTAGGTGGGGGTCCAATGAACAAGTCTCCAAAGAGTAACAATATGATGAATATCAGTTATGTGAATTCTTAATAACTAAACTAATCAGCTATTAATACATTAGGTCATCATAAAGACTCAACCTACACAGTTGGCATCAGTACAGGTTTCAATGGGGGTTTAATCTCTAACCGATCTAACTCTATAACAATTCAATAAAGATTACAATTATAATAAGAAGGCATAGAGATGTTGATAAGTTAACGTAGAAAAAAACAGACAGAGGTTCAACTATGAATTCTTGAGAATCGTATAAAAAAACTTAAAGAGCAGGAAGAAAGCACAAAAGTAAAAAATGACTTGAAAAAGAAGCAGATACAATAAATCTTGATTGTCAGAAAAAGAGCCTAAGAGGAAAGACTGCTCTAAGAGTAAAGAAGAAATGATAAGATGAGGGAGGAAGAAGTAAAAAAAAGAAGAGTGGAGCTCGAAAAAAAAAGATGGAATCAAAGCAGGATGAGAAGTTAGCAAAACAACCTTCAAGATAAAATTGTAATATCTATTATCATTTGATATTTATATAGAAAACCGTAAGTTAGCTCAGATATGAGAGCAATATTAGAAAGGAAAGGATGAATAACATTAAGATGAATGAACTACTTTAAAATGCTTAAAAAATTAAAGAGCAAATTTCACCTTAAAAACCCTTAGAAGAACGAAGGCAGAGGATGATAGATATGACAAGAACTGAGTATTTAAAAAAAGTAGCAGTAAACCATACTGATGCTGATAAAAATCTTGAGAAAATGCAAGAACTGCAGTCTCTCGAAATAACTCTTTTGTAGAGATTGCAAGAACACACCTAGAAATAACTTAAAGTCCAGTAAGAGTATCAAAATCTTGTAGGAGGTTCTAGACCTAGGACAACAGCAGTTATGAAAAAGTAAATGGTTTTGTAAAAAATGGCTGAAAACTCTGTTAATTCTCCGATGAGAATCACCTTTACTGGATAATCACATTTTCCCAAGTCAATTACAAATAGAGTTACTCAGAGGAACAATTTTTTACCTTAGAAGGAATCAATAAGCTACATAGGTCAAGTCCAAATTGAAGATTAAGAGTAGGAAGATGCAGCTAAAAATAATGATGATGCTAATTAAAAACGTAATCCCTCTAATATGGTGATAAGAAGTAGAGATAACTAAAAAGGTAGTAGTTTCGCTCCAGCGTAAGAAGTGTCAAAGAGTCAAGAATAAGATCAATCTTTCTTTATTACTAATAACTTGGTTGAGCAGTCTAAGACTTCTTACAATAAATAGTCCTCTAATCCTCTTGATAAAGTAAGCAGATCTGAGCATTCCTCAAAAATGCATAACCAATCACAATTATCAGAGCAGATTTTGCCAAATTCTTAAGATAAAATTGAAGTTGAATCCTATAAAAGTAACAGTAATCGTAATTCAAATAGAAACTTAAACACTAAGAAGCCTGGCAGTCAAAGGAACAATAACATGTCATCCCATCAAAGTAAAATAGAATCTATGAGAGACTCTAGAGTTTCAAATATCAATAACTAAGTCATTAATGAAGTTAAGTCTTCATTTAATCAAACTAAAGACTCTAAAGTTGAAGAAGATAACATTGAAATGCTATAAGATCTGGATGATAATATACAAGAAGGCTCAGTGTAGGATGACTTTATTCCTGATTCAAATATAGTTAATACTGATGCTAGACAATCTAACTAATCTAATTTCAAGTCGAATGTTTAGTAGCTAAGTAACAAGCAATTTAATTCATAAAGCATAAATTCTATTTAGTAACACTCAAGAAAATCTAAAAATCAAAGTTAAAGTCAAAACTATTAATCCCAAAGCGTTGTTGAATCGAGGTAGTCAGTTGCGAAATAGAGTAATTAGCAGAAAACTGAAAGTGATGACTACTAAGATAATGATATAGAGAAATAATATGAGCAGAACCTCATAAACATGAATGTACAAAGTAATACCTCACTGCCTGAAGAAAAAGAATACGAGGATAACTTTGAGGAGAACTCTTAGAAATCAAAATAGAACTAAAGTATTAATAAATCAGTGAGCTAAAAACCAATGAATAGTAAAGACTAAGTGGATGAGGAAGAATAGTATGATGATCAAGAGTTCGAAGAAGAACCTTAGAAGTAAATTCACTCAGAATCAGCAAAATCTTAATTAACAGCAGGAGATGGGAATACTAAAGTGGTTGCATCTCAGCAAGTAAACGATGAGACTAGCAAACAAATAATTAATACTAGCGATTATGATGAGGATGCTGAGTATGAAGACATAAATGAACAAGATCTTTAAAGTGAGCGAGATTAAGCTGATCTCTTGATTCATAACTAGCAATAAAAGCAGCAGAAAAGAAATGTAAGCTAAGTTAATGAGGTGCCAGATGATGATGAGGACTATGAAAATGATGGAGATTTTTAATAAGACTAGAATCCAAAGTAAATTGAGGACAATGAAGATGAGGACTACAATGATGACTACTAGCAAGATGCGGATGAAAATGACGATAATTACGATGAAGATGATTAGTTTTAGAATGCTTAAAATGATGGGGGTGATGCTGATGACGATTACAATGATGAAAACTAATATCTTGAAGATTAGCGTCAGTAATAAAACTAAGAGGAAGATCAAATATATACAAATAGCAATTAGCAGAATAATAATGATGAAGAGGAGTAAGAGTATACTTAAGAATTTGAATAACAGCAGAAATAGTCATTCCAATAAAACCAACTATTCTTTAATTAGCATAGTGAAGAAGAAGAGTATCGCTTCGATCCTGATTAGCTAGAATCGAATCAGTAGCTATCATAAGATCAGTAATGATTTTTAAACTCCTAATTTAATGATACTTAATAATATGAACAAGATGGGTTTGTGCAAGTTAAGCGAGAATTAGACAGTAGAAATTTTAATGGCAATCTAATTCATTTTGCTAATTAGAGTTTTGGCCAAGAAAATGGACAATAGATCGATTTTTTAAATTGATTACATCCTCAAATATCTCGAAGCATTTCAATTGACATTACTCAAATTTATAGTAGCATATACTCATTAATTTAATTATATTTTAAACTCATCACTAAATCTGACCCTGTGGGGTTTTGGGGTTTTGGGGTTTTGGGGTTTTGGGG